ACCTAAAACACTGTACACACCCATTTCTAACTTCTAAATTGCAGTATTTCAATTAGCTGAAAAGGAAGCAAAAGAAATTGGATATTATCTTGTGGTGAATCCTTCCTGCTGCTGGAGGATGAAAGCAGTTTAATGTATTTTTAATCTGGATGTATCAATAAGGCAATATATGGCCTTTAGCAAACGTTAGTTAGCTATCTAACAATGTTTGCTTTTAGTTTCCGGATCATTCTATTGTGGTGACAAGGTGATTATATTTTGGTTTGGTTAACCCACAGGTTTCTCAAATCTTATCCAGAAGGCCTTACTTCAGAAGCCAAAAAAAAAAAGTTCACGTGCCACACCTTATAAGATTTTATCAAGCATTATCATTACCAAAGGATCCAACCTGCCTTTATTTGTTTAGCTTCTGTAAAGCTATTATGTTCATTCAACTTAGTTTCAATTCATATTTTTCTCCTGGCTGTCAACACCCCACCTGCGGTGGCTTTGTAGAGCACATTAATCTAATCATAGTTTTTTCCAGTGTCAGTTTGAATGACCCAAAATTGACAACTAAGGTTTCTGTCCAAAAAAAGAACTGCATAAGGAGCGAACGGTGCAAACTGACAATAAGAAAAGTGTGTTCACAAAAACTACATTTTGTAACCAGTGACAAACAAACTGATTGAGACAATACAAGCATTCATCATTTCCAACAAGGAGCCACTTTATTGGTTGGTTTCCCACAAGTTCACTATCACGTTGCACTGCAGTAACTGAACCCTGTGTAAGCTTTTAAATAGCCAACAGATTTCAGCCAGGGAAACTTCCCAGTTGCAACATATGATGTCTCGAGACATCAGGTAAATACTGCATATTTATTGGTTTATACACAGACACACCCTTTAAGAGCTCTTCACACTCTTAAGAGGAAGATTAAAGGCCAAGGAGCCATTGCTGCTTGTCTCCAAGCACTGGCCTTCTGGGAGAAAGAGCAAACCATTCCCACCGCCCTGGAAGTGAGCTTTGCCCTGAGGTTAACCAGCCTCAGACGCCGTGTCAGTGACAACACAAGCTAGGAAGCCAAAAAAACACCCTGTAACTATCAATCTGACATTTAAAGTTTTCGTCTCTGTTATGTTGAGTTCAGCCAAATAACTCTGAAAACAACTCCGGCAACACGTTTTTAATTTACAGCTTTTTTCCAAAGCAGTACACCTGAGGTTTCTAGTAAATTCTGTGAATACTAGTTCATGTATGGCTGTCATGCTCATGACAGACGAGGTGCTGACTGAGAGAAGGGCAGGCTGGCATTCTGGCAAATGGAAGCCCTGAAGGCTTAGAGGTAGACCTGAAATAGCACTGCCGCTGCTGCATGCAGCATTACATCACAACTAACTTCATCGTCATGGCTGCCACTGCATCACAAAACCAATGAGGTATCATGGGAAGGGGACAGCAGCGCCTGTGACTCACGCATCAAGTCATTAACGGGGGAAGAACTCGGACACTGTCTATTACTGTACCTGGTGTAATGTATTTCCAAACAAACAGCAGCCATTGGATGCGGATTCATACAAACACTGCACTTCCTATATAATTACATTTTGTGCACCACTACTAATACATGTTATATTTTGTTTATTGCTCTGAAAACAAGGCAGGATGTATCTGCTTACATTCCATGCTCTAAAGCATACTCCAGAGGCAGTTTTCTCCCACAAATATCACATGATTTGACATGCAAGGAGGGGGAGGGAGAGAAAACTCAGTGCTCCTTTTTGACAACTTAGTTAAAACCACATCAAAGTCAAAAAGGTACGAGCTGAGCAAGCGCTAGGGAGGGAGACATCAAACATTGCCTGTGGGCTCTCTCACTAGCAAGCAGAGCTGACATGCTTTTAAGCTAATGTGCGGCTGTGGTAGCAGTTGTAACCAATATATTTAACGGGAATGCACATGCATTGTTTGGAAAGCGGCAGAACAAGTTGGTTAACATGTTTGACTTCTCTAGGTAATGCTGCCGTGCCCCTGATTCATACACCGGGCAAGCAGACAAAACTGTTGCAGCTTTCGCACAAAGCAGACGCTTCCTGAGATGACAGGTATATAAAAGTCTCAGACAAACATGTGTTTCAGCTGCACAACGGTTAGACATCAATCTTTTATGACACTACAATACATCTTTAACTCCCTACACTCATAGGGAGGTCGAGCATTACAAATCTCTTTAAATTTTGTAGAAGAGAGTTTAAGAAAGGATACCAAACCTGTGAGGTCATACATCCTGCCGAGTGTTTTAAACTTGGGTTTTAATATATTTTTCTGATTTAGAAAAACAGAAGATATAGAATAACCAGGATGATAGAGGAATATCACTGCTTTAAAGGTAGCTTAAGCAAAATCAAAATCCTCTCTGCGTTTTAACAGAATTTTAACATGTGAAGGTTTTACATGAAAAGCATAAGTATTATATTATCTTAAAATTTAGAAGTGACAATGTTTTGGGATAAAAATAATAATAATAGCATGCAATGCATTCTAATAAACACACTAATAAACAGCTGGGCTTCCACTGCAGAAAATCTGGACAGGTGCTAGGTAGAGGCAGTAATTGCTTCTTATTGCTGCTTTAAGCCTTTTATTTAGTAAAATTATTTAGCAACATCTTCAGCTGCATCTGGCTATGCCCCCCAGCTTTTTAGGGCTGCTCGGAGGTATCTTCTACAGAGTAGGCACTGTTCCCTGCAAAAGTACCATGAAAAGGCCCTAAAGGGACATTTTCTTGCAATCAGAACATGTGCATAAATATGTGCATATATGAAAAGATTTAACATAGCAGCCTCTACAGTGTGCACTATCTCGCTATTTAAACATTAATTAAGCAAATCAGCAGAGCTATTTTGTAGCATGTTAGGAATCAACCCCAGCTGTAGAATGCCCAGTAAACAGGATTGTGAAGTGAGCCACTTTCTGACTCGTGATACAGATGTGTGTGCTGGTGAAACAGCCTGAGGTTATTTTGAGAAGCATGTGCTCTGCACACATGGAACTGTTCAGCCCAGTGACGCTCATTTCATCTGGACTCGGAGAAAGCGCTATCCAGACTGAAAATGACCCACAATCACAGAGAGTACACTCAAAGTTTGGGAACAGGCAGATTTTAGAGTTCAGAGGGGGGCTTTCAGGAAATCTACAGCTTGTTTGTAGTCTTACTGAAAACTGCATCAGCTTATTGAAAGTGCATCAAATCGACAAAGTGAGCCCGCTGTAGGCCAGATAAGTGTGTCCTAAATGTAGATACAGCATCTTGAAGTGATTATAGGTCACACATAAAAACATTGCCAAGTTGCTGTTGTTATGCTTTGAGATACACAGGGAGAAATATCTACTGAAAATGGCAGTGAATGAAGGCTGATAATATCAATCACTGAGTGTAAAATCCTGCCCCGAAACAGTTTTGAACACCGTGAAGCAGTTATACAGGATTGTACACTTGGCTAGGCTGATAGACAGATAACATACTGCGAGTCATGTAGGCATGACTACACCGTGGCCCCCTAAGCAGCCCTCTGCAAAACTCACATAGCAGTTGGGCAACAAAAGCCAGACTGAATGGTCGACCGGCCTCACCACAGCTACTCCCAGCTCCTTCCAAGTATCACATAGACATACAAACACACAAACGCACACACAGACACACTGGGAATATTCTCTCCAGGGTCCAGTTGGAGCAGACACAGAGGATAGGAATGAGTGCCACTATCACACATCGGGAGGTTGCTTTATTAGTGTGATTACATCACCCAGAGATATGATCCCCCCCCTCCTGCTCCATGTGATCAGGAACACTGGGCACACAAACCAGGCCATGTGCTCCTATGTCCTGTCTGCCAAAATAACTCAGCAGTTTCTAATACAGTATGTCTATGGTTTCACTTCAGTCTGCCCAGGTACTGTACGACAGAGGTGCACATACCCTTTGTGGATGTCAATAAGAGTGCAGTTTGTTAATAAGTTTGCGCTGGTTGCGCTGCCATCCTGGCAGAGCTCCGGACCCCTGATGAGTCAAATCGAGACATTTAAGTGTCTGCTCCATGGGTATGATTTTGAGAAACGTGTGCCCTTCTCTTGAGTCACACTGAGTCACAGTGTGTCAGTGCATCACAAAAGCAACAATTCAACAGAAAACAAACATCCAAAGACAAAATAATACTTTCAGGGTGCACAGAGGCTGAGACCGGGGGGTGGAAAGAAAATACTGTTTGCTACTCTTTCATCGCACCCTTTACCCATGAATTATGTACCATTTATGTGCACCCAGTTTGTGGTGATGAGCAAGAGGAAGAAAGGGTGAAATGGGAGGAGAATGACAAAGATAAGGTCAGGTGGGATTTGATGTGTGCTATGTTGCATGATTATCCACAACACATTTATGCTACATCTATAATTCAGATGAGGCTGGGGCTTTCTCCCAATGATGAGCCTACAGCCAGATTAGATAATCTAACCAGATGTTGAAATGGAAACCACCTCGCCTTTGGCTCATATGAGTCTAACGAGAGTAATATATCCTGAATTTGAGGAGTTCAAGTACAAAAATAAAAGTAATTCACCTTTCCAGACTTCAAGCTCATTTCACACCCCATTAATTCCACTTCAACGCCTCTTTTACTATGTAGGTTAGGCTGTATCACACTTGTTAAGCAGGTGATTGGGCAAAAATATAGACCAATTATTGGCTGCTGTTGGAGCACTTTAAATAGCCCACTTTCTCTATGAAAACTTCACAATGAGTGCAAATTGGCAAAGCACTCCGTAACCTAACCGATGGCATGTTTGCTACAGCCAGCCCGAGTCTGAAGGGTTCCTCTGTGGATCAATTAACTGACCAGTAATTCAATCGACCGGATTGAGCTCGTTTCCACCGCGGTCACGACGCGTGAGCGCTTCCTCCGAGTCCTGCCTTCCGTAAGGGCGACCACACGAGAGTGCCACGATATAATGTCACAACTTACCCTTATAACAACCGGTTCCGTTGATTTCCAGCAGTGGAAGAAGAAGAGAGAAAATCCGATTCCACTGATTTTTCCACGGGCAGCAGATAAATGATTTGTCACATCATCCTGACAGCGGTGCGGCGATTAACGCGCTTCTTTTCTCACCCCGCAGATGGTTTTTCTTTCTTTTTTTCTGTTATTTTGTTTTATTTTATTTTTTTTAAGCCAATCCCAGTGCAGTAGTATTCAATCCGGTCACTCTCGATCCCAAGAGCAGCTGAGGCAGTCCAGGATGATTAAGTCGAAATGAGGCTGCCGTCCGGTTCTCTGCTACAGACGGAGCATTCCCACACTGCTCCATGGATCGACCCGGGGTAAGTTTCCTCCTGGCGGTTGTAGCAATTCAGTTTGGTAGAGAATCAGCCCCGCCCTGGGCTGAAGACGGTCTGTAGAGAAGGCGAGCCCGTCAAGATCACCAACCAATCGGTGTGTACACAGGGAGGCGCTGCTTCTCCAGACGGGGTGACTAAGCGATATCCTCAGCCACAGTGGGGTCCAGTGACTGAAACCTTTAACCCTCATCTACAGTGAGTCACTCCGACGGGGGACCATGACTGTTATAGTTATGAGAGGCATTAAATTTCACGGTAAATGGCTGTGGCCAATTAAACAATAATAATGCTTTCATATCAGTTATATTGATGTGTCCCAGTGGAGTGAATGAAGGAAAACCCAAAGAGACTGTAGTTAAACACGTCTGCCATAAAGCACAGTGAGGTTTTTTTTTTTTTTTTTTAAATCACAGCTCGTATTAATAGTTTTTGATAATTACACGAATTAACCTTCAGAATTTAACGGCACATTTGAATCTTTATCAGTTAAGATACATAACTTTGGCTTTTTAAGGCATAATACAAACACACGCACACAAAATCCCAGCAATGAAGAGATTATATTAAAATTTCAAGTGTTTACACAAATATATCTTCATCCAGTAAATGATTAATTGCACTATGCATGTGAAGAACTGCTCCCACAACTGCTGTTACGGCACAGGGACCTGTTTGAATTCATTTGAGGTTATGGACTTTGAATACAGGGTAAGACATTTTCCTACCAAATAACTGTAAGGTACTGGTGGCTAAACTGGCCCGCACACACAGAGAATTGAAGTGAATTCTACGTCAAAATGCAACTCGATATGTCTATAAAACAGTATGCATTCAGGATTATTATAGCGGTCATCAAAGCGCTCATATTTATGTAGTTCTAACAACAGTATTTATTTATATTCATCTAAGGCAAACAAGTCAAAAGAATATGAAAAATGTATCACAAAAACCTTCTAATTCTTCAGCTTATTGGTCAATTTTTAGACAAAACCATGCTTGTTGCCACATGATGATCATAACACCACATGCTTTCTATGACTATCAAAGCCTCCACCCATGAACCCTCTGCTCCCCTGTGTATATTTTAGTGAAATGATAGACTCCTGCTTCATTACAGAGGCAGCAAAGAATCAATTACATAAATATTACTTCTTTTTTTCAACTCGATGAGCATCCACAGGCTCGGTATTGCATCGCTGTCATAAGACTCTGAGGTTGGGTCTGCTGATGCGGCTGACTAAACTCAAGAGGTTTCTTAACTGAAAAGCAAGAAAGAAGGGAGAATTAGCAATGGAGATGTCAACAGTTCCTAATATAAGACAGCAATCCAACTCAAACAGCAAATTATGCTACCATAGATAGATAGACAGACTTTCCTTTACGCTGCAAACTCAGAGATTTAATTTGAGTGACTGAGGCTCCTCATATTCAGGCAACCGTTAATACACACTGTTGCTCCATCTAATGAAAAGACCACTACAGCGCATTCCATCCTGGTTTCAGTGAAAGCTCAGATTCACCTGGGAATTTTCTCTAGAGCAGAGATGGATGTTAGGAAGCAGAAAGTTTCTGAGGTGCTGACAAGGGGCACCAAGCTCAGAGCCTTCCCTCAGATGAGGTTTCAGGGCACAAGCATCTCAGGTTCCTGGAAAAAGTCTCTTTCATAGCTGCTTTGATCTGCTTCTTTATTAAGACACTCTCCACTGAATGTGGGTATCGTTGCCTTTCTGCTGTTAAAATAATGGAAGACATAATATGGCCCCATTTTATGCTGACAGAGTAGATTACTTGTCTGGATTATGAGAACAAGAGGTTTTTACATTCAACAGGATCCCCTAGAGATCTAGAGGCAACAAATAAATGCTTTTTTTCAGTTTTGGGAAAAAAAGTATTTGACAGTCAGCCAGCTCCTTTAACTAATTTTAGATTTGTCAGGAAATCAGTATTCACATTTCTGGGTACAGGAAATATGAGTGTGGTTTTCAAATTTTGTAACATCGCCTCCACGTTTCTTCTCATTTCTGAGAAATCTGATGCAAGGATTACGTTATTTTTAACCAATCTCTGCATTAACACTGAATTAAATAAGTTCAAACACAGTGATGAACCACAGCAGTTTTCAAACACATTGGTCTCACAGCTATTACTGCACAGTATATGGTTAAAAGTATAAAAAGCTAGTTTACTCTCACCTCAACCTTCCACTTTGTCTTGCACCCGGGGGTCTCATCTTTGCTGGCGTGACTGAGAGCCACACATCAAATCAAGCTCATTCAGAAACGTCCTCCTAAATTAGGCAAAAGATTGTATTCCCACCACAGGAATGAGTTTATCAGACTTCAGTGGGTCTTCTACATGTACTTGACTGTAAAAGGGTGGTTGAGAGGCCCCTCAGGACACCCTGATTGATATAACATGAAGTCACAGTAATTAATGGTGAAGTTTCCCCTGGGACCAAGGAGGGTTGAAGCTAGGTCAGAAGCAGCAATTAGGAAGCAGCACAGGATCTGTAAGAGCACTCAAAACCCCCTGTAGACCCATCAATCAGACACAGATAAAAGGGGTAAGCGTGAGGATCATGTTTAACCAAAAGGACATTGTCAGACGGTCCATAAACAGCTTCCTCTGTCTTCAGCCGAGTGGAAAAGCAGAGCAGAGACCATCATTCGTAGCACTACAGGGAGTGTTTTGCTTGTACATGGGTGACATGCTTTATGTCCTCAATAGAGGCAAAATACAGTTTCCAATCATGCAACTTTGTAAATGATTTTTTAAAATTAATTTTTATTTGATGGAAAAAGCCTGTCTGCCAGCATCTGTGGCATCTAAGAAATCACTTCACATGACGTTTGCTTCTAGTAGCAGCAATCCAACAAGCAAAAGTTCAGGAAAGGTAAGTTAAATGAGTTTAAGTGCTTTGCAAGCATTCATTCACTAAAAGACCACATGACTGCACAAACTACAGAAGTAGAAAGTGGCTGTGGAATAACTCAGACAGATAGGCTTTCACTTTGTGGTCATGTTGGCTATATTTATGTTCACTTGTTTCTGTGATAAGACCGGTAATCTTCCAGACAGTCTTCCTGCCCTCAGCCTGACTCAACAACTGTTCCCTTTGAGGGCTACAGGTGTGAGCCGAGACAAGGTAAGTTTTATCAGAGTAGGGGAGAGAAAGGTCAGGTAGGTTCAATCAATAACCAAACAGCTCGAAGTTTTTGCCTGTTGATTAGCTAAAAAAAACCCCCAAAAAAAACAGTCTTCAAACTGTCATAGGCTCTCATGTTATTATGTTGAGTCATACAAATAATGAGCTCTACCTGTTGAATGTCTCTGTGGGAATTTTGGGAAAAACTGACAACATCTTATGCGTGATTTAAATAAACAAAGACAACCTTTGAACTATTTACAGTGATTAGCTAACCTGTGGTTAAGCCTATTTAAGCCACAGTGGTTATGTTTAAAACTCCACATGTGAGTTCAGAGATGTGGAAAGAGACAAACCTGTTTCTTTATAAACGTTTCTTTGTTGTGCAAGGTGTATGAACTGGGTCTCAGATGACGTGATCCCCTTGCTTCCATCTCCTGATGAGAGCTCAGCCACCTGTACAGCACACACACGCCACACCTCTGCAGCAAACAAGAAAGGAGGTGCATGAATCATTAATTGCTGGCAATTAATAATTAATCCCATCACACACTGAGGATGCAAATACTACCTACCACCTAATGGCTCTTGTAGTACTGGTAAGAAAGAATACCCTCCAGTCATGTAGAGTTATTGGTCTGGAAAAGAAGGTTAATCATCATGTAAATTAATGAAGTTAAATGTTCTATTGGAAGTATTTTCTTTATAGTGAACCTTTATCTATTAACATAAAGCTTGTTCTGAAGACGAGAAATGATGTTAAGAGGTCCATTAAAAATGCACAATGTCCACATTTTTTTTAAATAACCTTGGTTAAAAGGCTCTCTGAAAACTAACTTAGACTAACACACTGTGAAATGGAATGAGCAGCGCTAAGTACTAAAACCTCTTTCAAATTGATTTCTGGCTTTTTATGGTGCTTAGATGTCGATTATATCATGCAGGCAATACAAATTTAAACACAGACCAAGACCAGACGTAATCTCAGCAATGCCAGTAATAGTTGGTTGTGTTTATTTACACCAACCAACATCATGGCTGTCTCTTTTTAAATCATGACTGTCATATAATAGCGACATGGTGTTACGTCTCAAACGGATACTTAATATAAATAGAATATGTCTTTATTGTCATTCATATATTATGCAGTGCGACACAATTTGGTTTGCAGCTCTGCCAATGTTCAAGTTAAATGTATAAAAAAATATATATAAATAGTAATAAAATATCCAAAAGAATAACAATCATCATGCAATAGTACAATATAGTATACATATAAAAACTATAATGCATGAGATTCTGTCTGTCCACATTATGGTAAATGCCCCAGGAAAGGAAGACCAAATGGTAAATGGCCTGTATTTGTATAGCTACTAGTCCCTAAGGACCCCAAAGCGCTTTACACATCCAGTCATCCACACATTCACACACTGGTGATGGCAAGCTACATTGTAGCCACAGCCACCCTGGGGCGCACTGACAGAGGCAAGGCTGCCGGACACTGGCGCAACCGGGCCCTCTGACCACCACCAGTATGCAACAGGTGAAGTGCCTTGCCCAAGGACACAACGACCGAGACTGTCCAAGCCGGGGCTCAAACCGGCAACCTTCTGATTACAAGGCGAACTCCCAACTCTTGAGCCACGATTGCCCATTATTACCGCCCCAATGACAGAAAGTATTATTTTTAATATTTTTAAATATTTTTCTTTAAGACTTCAAACTATATTTTGGAATTTTCTTTAAAAGTGTAACAGTTTTTTAGGGAAATTATTTTAATTAAACTATGTAATGGTCTGAGTTTCGCAATGGTGCTACTGACATTCATACCTAAGATATCGTTTAAACCTTACTCAAAAATAGAGATATAAATTTAGGAGGCTATT